GTTGGAAGCCAACGAAACCGCCGACAACACAAGGAACTGGACGCCCGATTGGCAAGAGCCACAATTCGTCCTGGGAGAACTGAACTGAAGAACAGTGGTACGTGATTTCACGACCTGTATCCGCACCCGTTTTTCTCAACGACCTCATAGGTTCCATACTAAACGAACAGGTTCGGACCACGACCAGACGTTTTGGTCGTTATATTGATGACGATGTCTAATAAATACGAGAGACCGGACATTGCTTTCAGGTATGCCCTTGAATGGTTGTTTCACAAACTTTCTATCGAGAGAACGAAGGGTATCGGATGAGTTTGGTGGTTCTTGCTGACGTATTCTGTGGGAGACGTACTAAAGGTACTAACTTTAATCCCCTACTGGCACACACTGTTTAATGTGAAAATCAATTCAAGGGGGTCTCCATCAAAAATCTATCGAAACGGAAATAAAATAAATGATAATAAGACATGATTATCCTAATCAATCCCAGATAACCAATGAATATTCTACTATCATATCATCATATCATATCATATCATTCTACTATCACACTATCATAAGTAGTATTTCACGCTTCCACGTTTTTCATGCATTACTCTGTTAACAAATTATAACGGCAATATGAGCATGAAGTTTAAAACAATAAAGTACCTCAGTAGTTTTTTCAAAGAATTCTTTACGAGAGGAAACGTACTTTGCTCAAAGCCCAGTCAGCAACTTTTGGTTCCGTCTGAAGACCCTTGTAGCTGTTCAAATCCATCATTTTGAGTTTGACATCGTTTTGCTGCTTCTGGGCAACGCTCACATTGAACAGAACAGACAAACCCTAGATGGGGAATAATATTGCGAGAAGTAAAAAATAGACCGCGGTCATATGGGTGCATCAAATACCTGCATCGCACAGGCTAAATTTACCTATTCATCAAACAAAACTGGAAAATAGGTGCACATTTTTACACAATAAAACAACTGGCTATTAGCAGAACCAAAGCAAAACAGCCGAAATGAGAGAAATCGTCGACTTGAAACAGTTATCATAATTGCAATTTCATTATTTGTTTGTCTACTTTAGTCCAAACCGCTTCGGTTCAATAAGACGAGACTCTCAGAAATGATTACTGAATTCTTTTATCGGTATAACAAAAAGTTATTCAGCATTTTGTTTCATGCTTGTTGATACCGTCATTTGAATTTTCAATTTCATTTCTTTTGAATTCCACACGGTACCTTGCATTACTGTAGAGTTCACACAACCCACATCGATTTGCCAATCAATCTCGGAGCACACTATCAAGGTACCTTTGTTTGTATTTCCTGTCTCCTAGTAACCATATAACAATTAACTAGCCTTATGCAACACACGTTTTGCCACGGACAACAGTCTTAATTATATCTCAATCTATTGGCAAACCAATTGAAAAGCAAGAAACTTCTGCAGCTGGATTCACTGGTTTATGCGGATTTTTATTCTTCTGTCATGCTGTATGTTCCGCTTTACGCTTCTCACACATCTTTATGGTATGCACATTACTTTCATGATTGATTTCTGAAAACATTCTTAGCAATCTATTGTCGGAATCCGATGTTCAATTTGTGTTGGCTCCATTTCAATACACCCTAGTTTTCGTTCAATAATTGCTCCCGCCTCATTTCATAAAAGTGACCAGTTGAGTTTAACGTAGCCCGTACAAGACCGCAAGCGCTTGGATTTTAACTCTGTCGATGACACTCCTTAATCCGGTCACGTAAGTATACCACATTTCACACCATATTTGTGTGCTGTATGTACGAATACTTATGGTAATAGTAATGGGAATTGAATAACGCAAACTCGGATTCAGACCGAAAACCCATAGAATAGCACAAATTCAGGTAGAACCAAGACGAGCTGTAGATAGAGTTAATTCCAGTTACTGCATTGAGAATGTCACCTCGATTGGTGAAACGTTTACAATACATTTGCAAATCTCGGCGAACAACTGAACATCAGAGTTAATTCAGTTCGAGAACAGCGTACAAATAAATATCACAAGCACCAAACAGTCATTGGTCAATTTTCGATCTCCAATCAAAGACAATCTGATTCATTTGGTTGTCTTTTCATATTCTTCCAGTTCGATTGATTCTACTTGAGATCACAGGATTGGTGGGGAAATCCGGTTCCTGATTGGTTACGTGGAAACTGTGTGGTGGTGCGTTGCACGATCACCGCAATAAGAGTGTGTATGAATGAAATAAGGGTAGAACAGCACTGACTGATAGTTTCCTCTAGATTTGGTACAACCTCTCACATGGAAGCCGTTTTTTTAGAAATTCTGCTGGTATCTTGCTTCCTGTCAAAGAACTGATTCAAATTTGTTTTTTTCCAATGTTTATGGCTATGGTTATAAAAGTAGCATGTTTTCTTGGAGTAGTGCTGAATGCGAACAGTATAAGTGGTAAAACGCGAGCTTCGATTCGTTGCTGAGGCCAATAGAGAAACAAAGTGTTGTATTTCAAATCATGGGATTAATTCTATTTCGCGAATAAAAGGAAACGGGTGGCCTGCAATGCTCTTCGTTCCAATTCTATACAGTCCTCGAACGATGTACTGATTCCAATGAGCGTTTGAGATCAGCATTCACTGCTGCGTTGCAGTATGTAATAAAAGCTGCAACAGACAATATTGAGGAGAACCTTAGTAAGTAAATTAAATCTTGGGACTGCATTAAGCAACTGCATCCTCTTCCAAAAACGTTTGTTGAGACCACTGAAAACTTCACTACTGAAGCAAATCATGCTGCGGAGTTACACACGCACACACACACTTCATTTCTTAATTAAAACGTGATTCAGCACTCTGTCTTCTGCTGTTCTCCATTCTGTTGGTTTCGAAATCACACTAAGCGGTAATATTGAGTACTTATTGCTATAATCAGCTGTATCGTATAAGGCCGGGAAGTTTAGCGTAAGTCAGCAGCAATAACAATGAAACCGCATATTGTCTCGCTCGTCCACACATCAGATCTCTTCACAAATTGTAGAGGAACTGATGAATGATTTATTGCGATTGGTTATTGCGGGGTAGTTAAGCACATATCCATACCAAAAGAGAAGCGGTTTGCCCATACAACTAAGACTGAATCTCATTGCGAGATTCATTTTAATAACCTTATACTTGGTTATTTCTTTTTCAAATAGGAATTCGTCGTGTGTATAGCAACGGAAGCGTGAAGTGAAAAGCTCGGAAGCACTGGACAGCTGTTTCGACCTGGTTGGGTCTCATCAGCAATGCGAATCCATCGACGCGACTGGGGTTCGAACCTGGGACTTCTTTCTTTTTCAAAGATATAATCAAAGGCCCTTGTTCTATGGTGAAAGTCAAATCCAAAGTTTTCTCATGAGACAAGCAAGCAGTTGCTCGTCTCCAATGGGAATTTTGGAAAAATTGAATCGAATGAACAATCATAGATAAATAAAAAAGGTCCATAAAATTTCGCAGTTTCGCGTATTGTTTTGAATGTCAAAATTTAAAATCTGATAATGACTCATCTAGGTTCCTCTTGAAAGAATCAATTGTGGACGCAAAAGAGATGAGGCGGTAGGGAAGTCTAAATACTACCAGCTCCAAGGGCAAAGGAATGAAGCCCGAATTCTATTCGATATTTTTAGTTTGAATGGGTGCTCCCTGAGGTGAATTTTTGGAGGCAAGGTGAATAGCGAACAGCACGGATGGTTAGAGTTCTGCATTAGTTGATACATCCAAATCAGTTCTTCTCCATTTCGACTACTTCGAATGGAGTACAACCCCAATTTTTCCAGTATTTTCACGTGCGTTTTGGACTGCAATCCCTTGGCTATGCTGTTGGTCATTCTTTGTGATCGCGTTGCAGCCATGAACTCCACACCTGAATGGGGTCAAATGTAGGCAGATAACAAACGTTGGCATAGCACAGGTTCAAATCTGCCAGACTCGCTTCAGTAAACCGATGTGTCTTACGTCTGCGGAATATGCCCTAGAGCAATTCACAAAAAAGTTTAGTTTGCCTTGAACGATGACAACAGGATCTATTCTCATTGGAGCTGTATAGAAGTTTGAAGTTCTATAACTTTTGTAAACTTACATGCTTACATCTGAACTAAAAGTGTACATTGAAACACATATACAATTTTATATCACATGCAACGTGAAGTATGCTGGTAAAGTTTGTTTTATATGCACAGATTCGGACCTAATCAACTGACCTTCTGTCTCCAACCCAGCATGGATTTCGGCACAAGCGTTCGTGCACCACAAACCTACTCCTTGCAAGGGATGAGTGAACAAAATCCTTTCGATGCAGGCCAGCCACTGGATATAGTTTATTTGGACTTCTCCAGGGCATTTGATCGAGTAAACCACCAAATTCTACTGCAAAAATCTCTACAACTACGGAGTGAGAGGTTTGGTTCTGGACTGGATCAAGGAGTTTCTCCGACAAAGAACCATGTCAGTTCGTGTTGGTGATCCATTATCAGAGCCTATCATCGCTACCCGGGGGGTTCCTCAAGGATCCGTACTGGGGCCTCGTCTCTTTCTTGCATTTATGAACGACCTGCCACATGTCCTTGGGCCTAATACACTGCTATTTGCAGATGACGCTAAGATCTGAAGAACTGTAACACATCCTGAGGATCATGTAGCACTCCAACAAACGATCGATGCAGCCCACCGATGGTCAATCGCCAACGACATCGAGTTCAATGTTTCCAAATGCAGAGTCATTTCCATGCGGCATAAGACTCGTTTCTCCTACGTTCTGGGGAACCAAATACTACCGCATGTCACTGATGAAAGGGATTTGGGAGCTATGGTATAGGATGTAGGATGTTCCACGCACTGTGCCATAGCATCATCTATGGCTCTGAAGCAAGTGGGACTACTTAGACGTGTTTTCGGGCAGTTCGAAAGAGCACTGTTCCCACGCTTGTTATCAGCGTTCGTTCGGTCACACACGGATTACACCGTTCAAGTATGGAATCCATGGTTAAACCGCGACAGGAAGGCTCTAGAACGTCCGCAGAGGCTGGCAACGAAATTGGTAAAAGGTCTATATAACAAAACATACTCCGAAAGACTGAAAATATTGGGACTCTACTCAGCCCAATACCGCCGACTTCGAGGGGACCTAATATTGGCATATCACATACCGCATCAACCCAACCACCCTTGCCGTTCTCTGCTGACTTTATCTCATAATGATCACCTCAGGGGACATCCATTAAAGGTGAAGACCCAGAACAGCCACCTTGATTGCCGGTATCACTCGTTGGCAGTCAGAGTGTGTGGCACATGGAATTTTCTCCCATCTGATGTAGTGTGTGCTCCTACAGTTGAACTATTTAAATCGCAAATTGGTGAAGCATTGGGACACTTAAAATTTCAACATCCGTGAGTGATCACGCACATTATTATCGTTGTTATTTTCTCTTTGTGAAGTTTTTCAAAAGATTCTGTAAAATCCTATGGGGCGTGATAAGCTTTAGTTTTGTTAAAACGCCCATAATAAAACTTTGAATTTGACTTTGAAAACCTGCCTCTTAGGAGTCAGGAAATATATAATACAGGGGAATTCTTATAGAGAACACTGTGTAGGCGAACATTTGTTTTCGGTGAATTCCTTTTCAAGCCTTTACAATCACATTTATATGAAACAAGTTCGATAAGGTCAAACTAAAAGGTGAATGACGCATGTGTTCGGCAATGAGCACAAGAGAACTCAAAATTTGTTGTGCGCAGCTTCGATCACATAACCAAGGTGATTACGCCATGGTGTTACGTCATGGTGGTATGAACAAGCAATTTACTCTTCCCTTGGCCAGGGGAGTTCTTATAAATGTTATTCCGGCAAAGTAGATGCCAAGAAATCATGAGAGTCGAGTTGAGTTGCAAAGAGATGCTACCGTGGAGTTCGTTTTCAGTTCCGATTGATCATTGAAAGGTTGCATCATGTGTTCTCTGATGTACCAGTGATTCCTTCGATTTCGACACTGTATTCCAAATCTGTTAGCACTGGCAAACATTAACGCTTGTGGCCCAGGCAGATAGATAGGGTATCAAAACCAGAAACATTCGAGAACCAAGCACTTATTCCTGTGGAACTCCTCGGGCTACGTTGATAGGACCAGAACTAGGAACAGGACCAACGAACACAAACTGCCTGGGTGCGTCATCCAATTTAATCTTTTACGCAATCTAGAATAAACCCCGGACTCCATCACTGAACAGTTTTCTAAGCAGTATTTTACGGTATACACGATAAAATGCTTTAGGAAAGTCGATGTAAGCTACGTGCAACGTATCATCGTGATCAACGGCTTTTGCCCATTCTACTCGGGTCAGTTGCAACCTACTGGTATACGAGCACTTGCGCCGAAATCCATGTCGTTGGCATTACCGTAAGCATTTGGTCACATACATTGCAGTTAGGATTTTTGGACTCCCTAGCCCNTAAATACTGCGAATTCATCTTATGTGTGAACTTTAAAATGCCAAATGTAAAAGGATCAAAATGCGGTTTGAATTAGTAGGTATTCTACGTAAATGGTAAAACTTACTCCAGTAAACTGGAGGTTTTCATTCACTCCTGACCTTTCCAGAGCATTCCACAAACAGTCAGGATTCCCATTGTCTTCCTGTATTTCTCGAATAAACAACTCCGCCAGTTCATCCAAGGGAAGCTGATCGTTCTTTAGGGTACAGAACTCTGAGTGAAGATCATAAAACAAAAAGAAAGCAATGTTCTTTTTTGTTCTTATCAAATTTGCCAAAATCTGTGACAATTCGAAAGAAACAAAATAGAGCGAAATCTCTTCCTGGGTTGTATGGATTATCACCGACAATTGCCCCTCCCCCACACTGTCTCTGAGTGATTAAGTTGAGCCATTTCACATCTTGTGAGTTCGTTAATCGCTATAATGTAGAAAGTATTCTGTTCGGCAGAGTGAAACCAGAAATCAAAAACACAAGAAAACCAGAACTACACTGATTGTCTGTAAAAACTAAATGGATTAATCAAATATAGCATTGTAAATTATTGTGTCCCCTCGCTCAAGATGTTAGTGAAAGACGGCTTGGCTTGAATGTGATGGTTTCAGACCCTCAAGCAAACCGGAAGTTTGAGATTCGAGGCCCAATATGGACTCACCACTAATGGATAATGTTAAAGAATTCAAGGGTGTAATAGTCAACCAGTGTTCTTTTTTGAGCTTACACGATAATTTCCACAAGACAGTTAAATCAATTTTAGTTATCATTTGTCATGCTACTTTGTTCTACTGTTTAATAGATTCTTTACTGTGTACAATGCACAGACTTCAGCAGTATTGATTTGAAATGCACTTAGCTGTTAAGGAGCAATACACGATATATTACTAATATTCGTCATCTACATTGTCCATTATATGTAAAAGAGATTCTACTGAACCGTGCAAAATATTCCTCCATCAAAAGTAACTATCCGTAGAAAATTCAAAAACGCTGCATTAGTTTTGTATATTAAAAAGTATTACTTAAAATCGTGTGGCTTTGAACAGGTATTTTCAGATCAGGAGCTACAAGTTAATCAGACTTCAGAAATATTAACACTTTATACCAAATTACACTCCCGGTTCATAAATATAAGCTTTTCTTTCATCATGAATTCCCCAATCCACTCAGATTGTAATTGCGGAATTTGATTATACGTTCATTTTTTCAGTTTATTTGTATCCTAGTTGGTAACTCTTAGCATTGCGCTAGAGCCAGGACAACTCGTCTCACAACGAGATGATGCATCATCACTTTGTTGTATCCTATTAAAAAGTAGCACCAGTATGCTCTTTCATTTGCGTCCTTTAAAGCAAAATACTGCGTTGCCAGGCAACGAAATCACCGGTAAGTCCGGTACACGACCGACCCGGTGGTAGCAATTGGTACAAAATTGTAAGCTTTATTTGATCAAAACCTTCAGCTCAACCACAACTGTTGGAGTAGGACTTTATCTGCCATTGAAAAGACAATAGCAACTCCTGGAATTGTCTAAAAGTGATTGTTTCATTGAAGAAAAATTACATTATTCTCCAAAAGGAGATAGATTTGGACTTGATGTCACATTAGAGTGACAGACTAAGAGCAGTGCGCGATGAACATCTAAGTTAAGATGCACACGGTGTGAATCTTAGTTTTGAGTGAAATTTCTAACCGAAGAAGGTAGTATTAAGACACATCTACCACCGTTTCTTTCTCGAAAACTGACTCTGGTATTGTATTTTACATAGTAAAAAGGGAGGTAAAGATATTGATACAGCAAACAGAATAAATCATCATCAATTGGTTTACCGAAGCCACGGCGCAGCACAGAACGGAGTTTATGCATCGTTTCTAAGTTACACATGTTTACATATTTATACTGCACTTATAACCTAAAATATCTGCCCAAATTTTTTCGATGCACATAAATGGGGTGTAGTTGACCATCTCCTATCGCCTCTTCTGTAGGTGGCATCCGACATCAAACTTGACGTGACATGCATTGCAATAAATTGGTATGATAAAGAATCAATGAAAACGAAAGTGATTCGTGATAAAATATGCTAAGGAATTAACCATTCATAATAAACATCCCAGTTTGAGAAAACAGAGATACACTGTTGGTAATTTTGCGTTCCGTTCTAATTTCTGAATTCTGCTCCCTGTAATTAAATAAGAATGTTCGCAGCGTTTGCCTCGAATCTAGTTCGCATTTCTCTGTCCATATAAACGAACACATGGACTGTGCGGTGCACGTGTACAGATATAGCAAAAGCGCACAACTAGTACCTTGCCTATTCCTGTTGAATCCCTCCTTTCCATCTGAGGATTATTCGAGAAAACGTTTTATTTGGTTGGATTGAACGAAGCGATTCAAATATCTTGGAAATTAACCGTCAAATTGGTCTTCGTCATTTGTTACAGCACTTACTAATAAAAAGACGTTTGAAATGAAATGAAGTACACACAGTTACACTCTTTATTATGAATCTGTTCAGATTGAAAGTATATAGTTGCTCCGTATGTATAAGATTTATTTTCAATCTAGTAATAGGATTGTATATATACCAAATAAAACTGCCTCCGGCTCACCAATAATTCCGTCTACCTATTGAACTCGAAATGTATTTCCGGTATCAAGTATTTCTATTTTATTAGTTCTTTCGTAACCAATGCCGCAAGTATTAAAGAATTTGCAAGGGTATGTAAGAGGCATCTGGTGACCCCGAATCACATCAAAATACCAGAACGTTTACACATCTCCATCAAACTAACCTCGAACAGCGTCCCACACTTCATCAACGTCAGCGCGCTGATACGTCTGTTTGGCAAATCGACGAAATTCTTCTCCACTCCACAGCTGGTTCATATCAGCATCGTAAATTTGAAATAATAGCTGAATTGCTTCCCTAAAATGTAACGGATAAAAGACCGTTGAAGACTTTTCTTATCAATATAAATTTGGCACCGGCTCCGTTTTTGTCACTATTTGCTTTATTTTTCTAATCCAATTACTGGGTAGAATTTCACTCCGTTTGCCACCGTGTACTATTTGTGAACGAAAGTTAACCAAAATTTCTATTACTAAAGTAACGTGCCAAACAGCTGTCGTAAAGAATGTATGGAAACGGATATAAATGTATTTGGATAGATGGTTAGGAACATAAATAAAGAAACAAATAGATACAGATAGACAGACAGATAGATAGACAGATAGATAGATAGGTAGATAGATAGATAG